AGCTACTAGCTAGTAGCTACTATGTTATCTTTCTCTATAACATTTCGGACTGCTTTTTCTGCTGCTTTTCTCCGCTAATCAGATACTTAGCACTTTTTTGTGCCTATTTGAGTTCCGTTTCCCGCAATTTGCGGTCGCGAACTGTGCCTTTAACATAGCTCGACGATGTCGGGGGACGGCACGACAGCACGGACGGGATCGGAAGACGCCACCTGGATATCACTACCGGATATCCAGCGTCGTTCCAGTGCAACTTTGAGTGGAGAAAGTGGCAGAAAGTGCGGACCATTATACCTCGCACATCGTCTTCGGAGGTGAATGTTCAGTGCGTCTTCCATTCAGGTCTCCACGCCATTAGGCTCATCCCTCCACTATGGTGATAGGTGTTGATGTTGAGTAATGTGCACCTGTATATTGCTGATGTCTTGTAATTCGGATGTCCGATGAAGGCCTTATCGCCAAATGGTCACACATAATACACTGCCAGGCATAATCATAGTTCCACCCATGAATCTCACAAAATCCCGTCTTACACGACGTTTTCAAAAATGCCCCATACAAAAAATGTGGTAATTACCAATACCAATTCGCATGCCAACACCAAACACTAACTTGAAAAAACAATTTTTTTCGTCAATTTTTTGAAAAATGGTCGTTCTGACAATGCAGCAAAATGATAGTTCCACCGCATATTTTCCCGCTGCATCTCATTTTTGTTAGGTAAAACTTCTCATCATTATGACTTCTTGCTCTTTTATAGGCTATGGCAAGTGGGAGTTCACTATTGGGGAAAAGGATAGATTACCGCAAAAGGAAGACTCAAAAACTGTGGTACCGTTGAATGCGCGGGATTCGGGCTGCACACATCACGCTATCAACAATTTTGTCAGGGTACCTACAAGATATTGAGTCGAGAAGAGTTCTGGACATCCTGCTTTTGCTGCCCGATCCGAATAAGCGCCGTATCCTCAGGAAAGCATCCAACTCTGCAGTGTCGTGTCGGGAAATTAAGTAATTCGGATTAATGTCTCGTAGGATACTGTTAGGTGTGTCTAGAAAAGCTCCTGAATTCAACTACAGGAGGAATATGAGTTAGGCACTGTTTCTAACAAGAACCATAGAGAGGCCTTGTTGGCTTGCTCGAAGATGTTGCCGGAAACCGACGAGTGAGGTTAGCTTTTCGCTGCGGTGGTGACTCCTTGACTGTCTTATTTTTTTCACTTTCCTAATGAGGAAAAAATTCAACTGCGACGGCTCAGATGAAAACCGGTTCCGCTGGCACGACCTGAAGGAAGACAAGTTTCATTTTCTTGGGCGCAACTACATAGGACGTGGTCTCATGGTCTGGGCTGCCATCGCACCAGTCGAACTTCTGAAACTGCGCCCCGTATGAGTAGAAAAATGATTTTTTTTCCTTTTCCGTTCATCCAAACGTCAGCGACGAAGTCTCCTTGCTTTCTCGCGTAGAAATCAGCAAGAAAAATCCATGCAAGATAATGCGCCAATTACACATTCGCTGAACGCAGAGGCGCTTTTTCGAAAAACACTCGTCGACCGGAGCATTTGCGAGCTCTCAGCAAGTGTCCACCACCAGTGGTGGACACGGTCCCTCGCGACCCTTTACTAAAAATTTTAGCACTGCTCAACTTTCTGCTGAACTCCCTTTTTTTATCTGGACGCACAGAGTGCATGGCTTATTCCTAGGTCACAAAAATGGCACTAGCCTGTCCTCTCGGTGACGTCTTTCCCTCGAAGAACCCGTGTAAGCTTGCATATTGAGGTGATTTGATATTTTGAGGTGGCTCAAACCTCCTGGTGGCAAGGAGGTTTTGAGTCGAGCGGAAGTGCTGAAACGTCCAAACCCAGCTCAGGAACGACTGTTAAGCACTGTTCTGTCCACAATAGAAAGAAGAAGTCGGTCGAAAGTGTGGCTTGGTTTCGGAACTGTCTGGAGGCAGTAAAGTTTGACATGCCTAGCAGTATTTTTCACGCGGAGCTATTCGGCGCTTTTCAGAACGCTACATGGCATGAGCGCCATGTAGCGCTCTGAAAAGGCTGTAGCTTGGAAGAGGAGTGATTCCGTCCTTCTAAGGCGCTCAGCCTTAGCATTGCATTGATGACCCTTGTGCCCTACGCTAATGTTCCTCCTAAAAATGAATGTCATATCAATAATGAGGACAGCGAATAACCCTAGTATCCAAGTCCCCTCAGTTTGGGCAAAAGAGATGATAGCACCAAACTGGCGCTCATTGAGCCAGGTGGCGTTGGGACGTGTGATGAAAATCATACTTCGTGACCAGACCAACAAAAGCCCTAGTATGTAACTTTTCCTGTAGTTTGGTAAAAAAAGGTAGTGGTGAGTTGGCGCGGGCACCATTCTAGCCCCCAGTTTTGATGGAAGAAGTGGTGGCGCCAAATTGGGCGCCTAATAGTGCCAAATGGCTCAAACACCATCGGCACCCAGAAACGGACATTCAGCACATTCGTGATCGGGGCACTGAGTAACCTCTACCGGCAAATTTTCAGCAGAAATCTTTCTAGAGGTTTTGGGCTCAGGTGCTGCTAGTTGAATCGTGCCTGGGACCCTTATATCTGAAGATCTCGTTGGTCCACTATTTGCATGAAATTAACAAAGGTTATGATAGACTTTGTACCACTGGGAAAGCTTCTCGACAGAACTCGAACTATTTCTAAAAATTTCATCAAAAGCCCGTCCGCCACATATGGTGGACATGGTCCGAAGTGGACATTTCGGTGTCCACCACCAGTGGCGGACATTGTCACGAATGGGTTAATGTGTGCCGAGCACTACAGCGCGATTCAATCATCACCAAACCTCTTTTTTGCCCTGGCCAGCGAGCAGCCCCGATCTGACCCCACCGAGGACGTGAGGGGCTTCAAAGTGCGTATGATCCATGAAGAACAAAGCACAATCCCACAATGTCCGCGAGGGGAGTTCATCATTGGTGCAGTCTGCCGAAAGCCTATTGAAAATCTCTAATCGAGCATGGGCAACCGTATTTCCAACTCAGTAGGAAAAATAGAGTTCTAGTAGAACACTGGATCAAAGTTCATTCATTATGTTGTACCCTCGTCATTCAGACAGTTGATCAGGGTGGTCGTCAACGGGCTGCAGACGCGGCTGCAGCACCGACCGCGTGCGTAGGAACTACTTTTTTCCAGCCTGATTCAGTCATTTTTCCCTACTTTTCACTGCTTTTGTCTGCTTTTTCCAAGATTACCAGTTCCTTGTCTTCACAAGGTAATTATTGGAATTTTCATAACATTTGCGAACAATTAAACGATTAAACAAACAATTAGACAAATGCCTCGCGAAAACACACCATTACGAGAGAAAATAAAAAAGTTCACGAGTTTAAACTTCATATAGACAATAACGTAAATAATCTTGAAAAAAAATAGGAAATACAGTGAAAATTAGGGAGGAAATTGCTAAATTAGGGTGGAAACAGCTGATCGCCGCGGTCGTGACGCGCTGCAGCCGCGTCGCGACCCCTGGGGTCGGCTGATCAACTGCCCGGATGACGACGATACACTTGTTGTTGGAATATTCGATTTGTTCGGTGGAACTATACTTTTGCTGCGTTGTCAGAACGACCATTTTTGAAAAAATTGACAAAAAAAATTGTTTTTCAAGTTAGTGTTTGTGTTGGCATGCGAATTGGTATTGGTAATTACCACATTTTTTGTATGGGGGCATTTTTGAAAACGTCGTGTAAGACGGACTTTTGTGAGATTCATTGGTGGAACAATGATTATGCTTCGCAGCGCAGATTCGATACAAAAGCTCCAAAGCGTCTATCCTATAAATTGCAGGGAAGCGGTGCTATGGGATGTAAGTGTCGCTCCCTTCGCCTGATGTGTGCTAAAAGGACGAAAAAAGCACTCCACTCATTGCAATGCATCACTGAAGTCTAGCTCGCACAAGGTGGCAACCTACGCAGAGAATCCATGGTGAGATATTCCTCGGATGTTCTCTATGGACAGGATCAAGCACTCCACCTCAGCCCCGTTGAAAGGTGATCGGACCATGATTTGAGCCGGGAAGTTTTCATACATTTCGGTTCTCACTGAGGTGATTGCAATTCGAGGAGAAACTTACTTTTTGCTTTGGCGGCAACAACTTCTACGAGAGACATAAACTGGTCAGGATCATTCACACCCATCTGCTTAGCTAATTGCTCTGCATATGCGACGATTTCCCTACTGTAGCCGGCCGCACCGCCGAACACCTGAATCATTGTTCCCCGTGAGAAATTTTACACCTGCGATTTTTCTAGATTATATCAGATTCAGGAGATATGGAAGTATGTTACAAATCAGTATGAATGCAACCTTATTCATGCGGCCGATCTGTTGACTTGTTGGATTCCGTAGATATTCGTGTGTCTCGTAGTCGCCTCCGAGGCATTTCCGCAATCGGTTCGGCTTAAATATCTTAGGGATCCCACGTTGTTGCTTTGAAGAGAAGAAGGGCCTTAAAAAAAGCTTCCAAAATTTGGTGTATACTTTGCCATCAAAGTGGCAGGAAAGTTTTGTCACATTTTTAGTTTAAGCCTCTTCCGTACAGAGACACACAAGGTCAAGATTTATCTTTTTTAGGCAGCGTTCAGACTTCGCGACGGCAGCGCTTCGGTCGCGCGTTCGACGCGATCGATGCAGTCGAAAGCATGCGCATCGATCGCGTCGAACGCGTGACCGAAGCGCTGCTGTCGCGAAGTCTGAACGCTGTCTTATGGATCAGCATACTAAAGGCCAGCATTCTATCACCTTGTGGATGCTTCTCAATGCAGGATCGTGCAACTTAAAGTAAAACGCCAGCTTTCCAGCATTGCGGAGCATATCTCGCACTGTCTGAGCTTGACCAACGCCGACAAAGAGAGCTGTCCGCCCTCTCTACATTGAACTCTGGTTTGACATTTCTATGCAAGGTTTGATATGGGCTTGTCATGTGGAATGCAATCCATGCGGACAAATGTTCCCTTCCCATCAACGAATGGCTTTAGACGTTGATATGAAAGCAACAGCAAAAGGAATAAGAGGGAGCAGCTTCTTTACTCAGCGGTCAGAAATTACTGTTCCACTAAGGCTGCGTTTATACTTTGCGGCAGCGTAGCGTAGCGTAGCGCTTCCAGCGTACGCCAGCGGCAGTGCCGGGGAGAGGATGGATATCGATCTAGCGTTCCCAGCGTCACCAGCGTAACGCTAGCGTACGCCAGCGTTTCTCCAGCGTTTCACCAGCGTTTTGCTGGCGTTTGCAGCGGCAGGGGAGTAGAGACTATGTGGCCGTAGAGACGCGAATCGATGTGTATTGTAGAGACTATGTGGCCGTCAGAGACGCGCAATCGATGTGTTTTGTACCCTCCAGCTCTCCCATAGTCTCTACTCCCCTGCCGCTGCAAACGCTAGCAAAACGCTGGTGAAACGCTGGAGAAACGCTGGTGACGCTGGGAACGCTAGATCGATATGCATCCTCTCCCCGGCACTGCCGCTGGCGTACGCTGGAAGCGCTACGCTGCCGCAAAGTATAAACGCAGCCTAAAGTTCACTTTCTCTTCAAGACGGCAACACCACTTCAAAGCGTTCCTCGGGGCTCCCTCTTCGGTCTTGGCAATTGTCATGCTAAACAGCTGGAAGAAAAGAGCTAGCGGGTGAATGCGTCGACGGTTCAGGGAAAAGGTGCTGTCCATTTTGCAAAGAAAAATGCAGATGAAACTCAAGTGAAATGTGACATATCCTCCGGGACTATCTGACACTATTGAACACTGTGAGCGTTTTAAACATTTGAGTTTCATCTGCATTTCATTTTCAAAACTATCAAACATGATGACTTCATTCAACTAACCGATTGTTGGGATTGACCTGATGCGTTGTTCCATTTTTTTCTGTCACGAAGACCGTCTTGCCTTTTCTCCCTGCTATTTTCACGGACTCCATATTTTCGACGGACTTGAAAAATGTGCCTGGATCCTCCATTCGATTCAAGTTCCTCACAATTTTGGACGTAGCCTTGATTGAGCCATCCCCCTTGTTTTGTTCGAGATACGACTGGAATGCTTCCTTGGCTTTTACATCCGTCATGTTTTCAGGCAATTGTTGTGATTCTCTGCTGTTGAGCCTGTTTAATCACTCCCCAAGCTGTTTTTGGCTGTATCAACGTATTGGTGAAGAACAGCGTACTCACGGAAAACTGTAATACGTCGAGTGTCGTGAGGCTTTCATTGCGCCCCTTGTCGATGATATTCGCCACATTGATAATAAATGAGAAGCCATCAACGCCGACTGTCGTCAGCATGAGCACTGTGGCGAGAATCCGCTCACTCTGCGAGAAAATTCGGCCCGATGCAGCCCCAGCGGCGAGGCGTGCCGACGCGAACAAACCCAACATATGCAAAGGTGCAGCAGCTATTGATAGCATGAGCAGTATGCCTTCGCGATCAGTTATGCTCTCTCCGTGATTTGTTTTGTCAAATAAACGGTGTGCTGCACGGCCAAATCCGTAGCCGGCACTAGTCCCACCGACACCCAACAGAATTGGGGCGGAGATAAATCCAGCCGGTGTGAAAAGTGCTGCCACTCCTACTGTCATACCAATACTAGTTATCACCACGTCACATATTCTGCCCAGACGAGACATTGTGTCACATGCAGGGGAAGTCCCGAACTCCACGATAACCCGCTTCTGCGGATCAAATGCATACGTGTCGTCAGAGTTGCACGTGTAGTAGAGGTCTTTCGGATAACAATACTTCACCATTGGTAGACAATTGTTGTTTTTCCAATCCTGAGCACTTTTGTACACGCGACATGCTGTGTCAATGATCCGTGTGGAGAAGCCCGTGAACGTTTTTTCCCAGAGAAGTCGGAAGACTGGCACCTAATCGAAAACAGATGGAAAATATATCGACAAATATGCAAGAAAACTGCTTCGCTCAAAATTCACCTGGTACTCTTTTTCTCCCTCTTTGCAGAAGATGAATGCGAATCCGAGTTGGAACAGTTTCTCTGGCGCTTTCATGTAAGTCGCATGGATGGTCTCATAGATCTTTTCGGCAAACGAACGCTGATCTTTGTTGTAGGTACTCTCAAGGTCTTCGGCATCCTCAGACGGTGGCCCTTAAATGAACAAATGTATGTCCTGGAAACTGACAGAATAACTTGTCGTCGTTCCACACAGACATTCGGTCACTCTTACTCTTCCCTCGTAGGCTCCTGTCCTTGATGCGAACTTATTTACTAGCTGTTCGTGGTGAAGTAAGCTGGGAGTCTGCGATCTTGTAGCTTGCCTCATTGTTGAGTTTGGTAGTGTTTTTGGAGCTCTTGAATTGTTTAACGCCTTACTTGATAAGCTTTCTGTTTTTAACTTTGGCATCAGGCCGCTCTGAGGTCTCTGTACGACCATGGCTCACAAATCGCTTTTTCGTAACTCCCAGGACGAAATAAATTATCCAGTGCAAAAAAAAGAAAGGGAAAGAACAATAAAAACACCAATGCAAAACTCGCAACAGAAGGGAACCTTCAAAAACTCAGCCATGAATTGAATATTATGGGGAGCAACCTAACTCGAGCTTTGCGCAAAAAATTTTCCATCACTGGTGATTTGACAGCTCACCTTCGGAGATGGATTGCTGTTGACTGTACAGGGGGGAGGGGGCAAAAAAAAGACATTTAGACAGAGTCACATATTAGCGAAGTTTTCGCAGCCCAGACAGAGGACGTGGATTGAAGTCATCTCCAGTCGCAGCCTGACTGGAGAAGACCTTTGGAATTCATGTCACCTCCAAACAGCTGCGAAACTTCTAGTATGGAGTCACCCATGGATAGCTACCTGGAGAGCAGTACTCTCGATCTGGAAGACCTCCATCATCGAGCAGCTCCGTCAACGTCGCTACGGTCTAGGACATCATCTTCACCTCAGTCGCCAAGGCGCCAGTTGATGGTGGGACCGGACGTACCTGGAATGGAGAGACCGATATTTTCTTCGTGGGCCCCGGACTAAAGGTGAGCGCTGGCGGTTACATCGAGCAACTCGAGAAGAATATCCTCTCCACATGTCGTCGCCCGTACCTTCTTGGAAACTTTGTACTGCTACAGGATTGGGTGACACCACATGGAATCAAAGGGCGTTGGGAAAACTCTTGCCTACTTGGAATGGAAGGGCGTTGAGTACCTGAAGGTGGAATATCTAAGCAGGTCACCTGACCTAAACCCCCTCAATTACCTGGTTCGGGCGGAGTTCAATAGGGTGGTCTAGGCGGAGAAATCAACGATCTCGCTGAACTCAGGCACCCACTCACGGTCGCGTGGCAGAATCTCTCGATGGCGCTCCTCCAGAAGGCTGTGGCGGAGTATCATGATAGTATTTAATATGCTCTTTAATATGGTGGTAGAAATGTCCGATAAGAATTTAATAAAGTGTAACTTATAGCGCCTCGAAAGTCAAGGAAGAAAAAAAGTCTTTTTTTTGCCCCCCTCCCCCTTTATGTACTCCTAATGAAGAAAGTGAGAGCACGAAAGTTTAAGCACGAGAGGGATGGGTGTGGACAGGATGTCTTGGGTGGGCGCTTCGAACAAGCGCAGCTTAGCCCCTTTCTCGTTAACTGTGTAGTCGCAAAATAGGGACACTCTCTTGGCCTGGGAGCTTTGCTACTTGCGCAAGGAAGGACGAGGACAAAAGTCTTTGCAGCTGCAGGTACATGTCAGCGGTGTTCATCACCTTCAGCGCAGAGGGTTTGTAGAGAAACACGTGGGTGGAGCAGTACGCACCCTAAAAATAGTATGGACGAGCACAAAAACACTGATCAATACCCCCTATCCACGGACCAGTCTGCTTTCAATGTGATCGCTCTGCACAGACATTTGCTACGGCCGCTGCGAAGGGGAATAAATGAAGCGCGTGATATATACCATTTTCACTTTAAATTCACCCTTTTTCAAACCAAATTCACCACTTTTCAAACCAAATTCACCACTTTTCAAACCAAATTCACCACTCTTCTTAGATTCAAATCTTCATAACTTCTTCAATTTTTAATTTCACATCCACTCTTCGCACAACGAAGGTACTCGTAGACGCGCATTCATGCACCGGCAATTTAGGCTCCGCCCCTTTGGCCACGCCCACTTGCTGTTTGCGGAATTATGATATTTTTTCAAAATTTTTGCATTTTTGGACTGCCCGTGAAGCCCCGCCCACTGTGAGAGGCTCTGAACTCGGTTCCACGGCAGTGCCGAGATAGAGAACAGTGCAATAAAGTTAACAAAGGGCTGACAGGTCAAATGGAGGAGACACCCCCGAAAGGGGCTGGACGTACAGGGGAGCGGCGCTTCCGGTGTTTCTGAAAAAAGCCATAACTCGGCTGTAAAGCGGCTCGAAAAAGTGGAATAAAGGGGTTGGCAGAGCAGTGGAGGAGACTCGCCCAAAATGGGGATTCGTGAGATGCACGGTGCTTCTCACAGAGGTTGGTTACTTGGTTTCTGGAAGAGTGAGATTGCAGAAAAGTTCATGACGAAGATCGATACCGGCAAAAGTCCATGTTTGCGGCGTGCTGAGGCCGGCCCACAGTGGGCGTGGCACGCATTCAAACATGAGTTTAACGAAAAATCGTAGTTTGGTCCCAAAGCACTACAGACGGCACAAAAAAGTCGATTATGGTCTCCAATTAATCACACGTTGCGAGGTATACCTTGTGGGCTGAGCGTGCCCAGAGGTGGGTGAAGCCAAACTTAAAAAATTCGCAAAACGGTTCCAGAGCACTCCAGACACCGGGAAAAAGTAGTTCAAGATCAGCGAGGGGTCATTGATTAAGAAGCGCGAGGCATGAGTTGTTGGCGAAGCGTGCATTGCGTGGCTTCAGCGCGTCCACCTGCTTTCGTATGATCAAATGCTCGACTTATACCCGACTTGCTCTTATGTGTCCATCCTTACCACCATTCCTAACAGTGCTGAAAATAGCAGGTATATGCTATCGGTCAAAGAATGTTGACCATCTGTTCAGATAAAAGAAAAGCCGGATACTAGGTGGGTATTGAAATGTGTGGAAGAAGGTAAGCGCGGCGGAGCCGCGCCCGCCCGGCGAAGCCGTGCTGTATCTCAGGAGCAGGCGCGCCGGTTGGTGCTGTGTATAATCGGCTATGTCCGTGTGCGTGCGTCTTTCTATCACGAATTTCATAGCGCCGATCCTAATAGCAGTGAGACATCGTTTCCAGAAGTGATGTAGGGGGTGTGACGGGAACACTATTGGTGGGTGACAGGAAGTGATATCAGCTGATAAGATTCGATAAGGGGCGTTAGCAGGGGATGGCCACCATGTTCACAGCGGGCCACAGAATCAAGTAGGTGCTGATGTGATATAGGGTATGGGACAGGAACATCTTTGGAGGGTGACAGGAACTATGATTTGCTGATAAGATTTGATAAGGGGAGTCAGAATGGGAAGACCACCATATTCATAACGCAGGACACAGCATCAGACAGGCGTTGATTCTAGCAACTAATATGGAGGGGGAGGTGAGGATGACGACGGGGGTGACAGCGGGTGACAGCGGGAAAGTTCTGTCACATTTTTCAAATTAGGCTTTTTTTGTAGAGATCAAAATTGTACAGCAATGTTACTGCGGGGTTCCTTGCCAGTTTTTGAGCACCTCATGGATGCCATCGCTTCACAATGCAGGGAGGCGCGACGCAAAGTTGGACACATCTCAATCTTGACTTGAACTCGGGTTATGGAGGTTTTCTCGTCCACATAACGATTGAGTACGGGAGGCAACTCGCAGTTAGAAGGAGCAATGTCTGTGCTACACCAGTGCAAGGGGAGAGCCATCCAGCTCTATTGCATGAGGTACGGCTCGAACTTTTTTGGACGGAGTGCGCTGCACTATCATGATGAGGGCGGGCTGTGCGGACAAATTTTTCCCTCTGATCGACGGTACGCTTTAGATCTCGTAGCTGCTTTGCGTACGCATTGACGAGGAAGCAGCTTCTTCATCCAGCACTTTCACGACCCGCAGCTCCCTCAATCTGAGTTCACAGGTAACCCAAACCTCACTTCGTCATCAAACTGTAGGCTCCCGCTTTGAAGCATTAGCGTCGTGGAAGGTTGTCCGATAATTGAGGGCATCGTCCTTATTTATTTTGGCATCTGCAGCTATCATGCTGGCGTCAGGGTGGTGGAAGAAAGAGCTCGAGGAAGCGTCTGGAGGGGTCGGTGCCGATGGCAGCGATTCAATAAAAACGTTAAACAATTAAAAAAACTTTTAAAACACTGCTCATCTCTATGTTGAAGTAGTGAAAGAATGTAGAATTGGTCATACCGTAGATAGCATAGCAAATCTTCGTAACTCGCAGTGAAGGGGAGAGATCAGTCATGTCGTGAAATTGTGAACCCTCAAACTGCAGGTAGAAGCATTGCTGCTTTTCCTCGGCATCTCTCTTCCATCTTCGCACTTCGTCATCCTCCCACGATGAGGGGTATTCCCCAGTGAGCGTGTTCATCAAGCCTTCAAAATAGGTGAAATTTCTTCCTTATCACATTTTATGAGATTGGGTTTTTCATCGAATTGCACGATCACATCGGCATAGAATACTCTCGGTCTACAATGGTAGCACTAGTGCTCAAAATGGAGAATGAAGAAAAATGAAGCTAATCAGTCAGAAACAGCCAATGCAGAATTCTATTCGACGAGCTTTCTCCTGACATCGCGACAACAATCATTAGTAAGTAAATCTGAGATCAGTGTTAGAATGACCTGACGATACGGATCTCATAGCAGATATCCAATTTGCCCTGGGTGGTGGTGCCCACGCCTTTAGAGCGGCGAAAGAACGGTCTAATGAAGAGTTAGATGACTTTTTACAAAATGCAGAAATCCTCTACAATTGAGAGAAGTTGGTTCACCGACTCCGATCCCCTCATCTAGCTTCGAGCAGATATCCTTCGTGGAATGCTCTATTCAGATAACTGTTGATACTTCTGCTGAGCACTGTCCTGGCCGTAGTATTAGGTTGTCCGGAAAGTTCTTAGCGTTTTGAGTGTTTCACTTTAAACGATCATAACTTTCTTAATACTCATCGGATTCAATCGAAATAAGCACCGTTCGAATCAGCACACTTTTGCCAATGTGACACAGTCGATAAATCCCATCAAGAAAAAACTGGGTGGTCGAGAATCCGAAATCCACGAAGGCTTTTTTGCCTGGTCCTGATTGATGAAGTATTTTCCAGCAAGGAAGTTCTGAAAATGTTTGAAAAGGTGATAGTCGGTTGGTGAAAGGTCTGGAGAATATGGCGGG